ATTTCGGGATGTGAGAGACTCACTCTCTGCTCGATTACTTAGCGTGAGCTTTAAAGCATTGGGACTGTTCCCACACGGAATAACCTTCATTTGATTTCTTATACCCCAGATCTATGATAATATGAAGCGAAACTCCTTTTATCGAGAGTATTCTTGGGTATCCCCCAAGATGTAATTAACCAGTAGGAACACGTTCCTCTGGGAGTGCTCTTGACCCCAGAACAGGTACATACACCTGACTCTCTGGTTATGGGTAGTCTATGTAGATACTTCTTTCGCGGATATTGGTTTAAGGTGCCTCCGCCCGATCTTGTTTGGGCGGACATTCTTAACCTATCTTTGCGATGTTTATCGCACGTAGACTCTCCACGTTTTACTTTTTCTCTTGTTTGTCTCTTTGTTGTATGTCCCTTCTTATTCGATTCCTCTCCTCTTCGAATCATTTATATGGTTCGGGAGGGAGATTTATTTGAATGGGGGAAGTATACGACGATCGACAAGCTGGCGACTCCTTTTAAAAATAAAAAAGAAAAAAATGAACGGAAACATTGGTCTTTTGTATGATAAAGTACAATAGTTTTGGGGAAATTGCTGTATGATATTTTTGGAAAAATATATATATTAATACTTTTGATGATAGTTTTTTGAGAAGTTGATTTCTTTGTCACAATTTTATAACTTTTTTTAAAAAAATATGTAGTTAACCAAAACATATCTACATCTTATTTTAATATCTATTTATTAATTAACGTAATTTATTAAATAATCCAACAACATGCATCATACTTTTATAATTAATTAATTAATTATTATTAAATAAATAAATTTTTAAATAAAATTTTCAATCCATATTATTTGTATTATATTCTATATTTTTATGGTCAATTCGATTTGAATTAGGCTAATTTGAAAAAAAATTATTTATTTATTTATTATTTTTATTTATTTGCACTTTTGGAAGTCTCGATGAGCCAATAACAGTTGAAATTAGATTTGGGCATTTGTGTGGGTTGTTTTCCTGCTCGTCATAATCCTGCTTGAAATGTGTTAGTTTGACTATGAAAAAATAAAAAAACACGTTTTGCATTTGTGAAAGACGCTTCCCGCGGGAGGGAGCCCGCGATCTGCGTTTCATTCCCGTCCAATTACTTTGCTGCCCTAATTTGAAAAATAGTTGATTTGCAGTTATTTCTAGATAAGTAATCGTTCTGGTGCTGCACATACATAATATTGTTGTATATACAATAAGAAATATGTACAAAAAGTGCATCAAAGAAACAAGCAATCAAGCATGTAACACGTTATACAAAGGCACATACCAATACCTAACCTTTGCTAATGATCATCACAAAATAAAGTCAAACATAATTATTTCTATGATTTCGGGAAAAAGTCAAAATATAGAAAAAGAATCAAAGTCCACAAAAAACATTTTATCAATTTACTATATTCAACATTTAAGAATATGAAAATAAAAAAGAAAAAAGAAAAAGAAAAAACAAACTCCTCGTTATACCATTCAACTTCAACACTTACCCATGTTGCATGACCTATAGAATTTTGGTTATATACTACTTCAAAATCCCTAAAATAAGAAAATATTTAGAGATATTGCATTAAAGGCATTGTAACTTTGCATCACCATCCTGAAAATATAACTTCCAGAATGAACAGGATTAGCTAGAGAATACCATTATAAATTATGCTTGCAATTTGTAATTAATGAAAGCACCAAACATGATATGTTGTATAAATCGGGTAGGAGTGGAGTGAAAGGTGAAGATATAAGGGAGTTTATGAGATCGTTGTGAGCCGTGATCTCGTAGTTGCCTTCTCAACTAGCTCTAGTTGCGGTTGTACCGCTATGGTTTTGGACTCGAAAGGAGGATGAAGAGGAAGGTAGGTGATGGCTTTGGGCAAAACCTAGAGAGGTGGAACTCAGGTAGGCGAGAGAGATCTAACGAGGGAGGAGACAGACAGCTTCGAAGGGAACGGGAGGAAGAACCCGTCAAGAAGCAGCTTCAAGTCACGGGCCGCGGAGTCGATCCCGCTACCCCGTCTATTTAGGAATTGAAGATGCAGTTTCTCAATAAGCTTTCCGAATGCACGAACCAAACGACTACCCCAAACAGATCCTTAGTCGCCCGAATAAGTTTGACCTATGCAAAGCTCAACCCGCCCAATGCCCAAATATCATATTATTTATTTTGGGGGCATTTACATGCATACCACACAATTCTTATACATCTACATATCCAACACCTAAACTTTCATATTGACATTCATAGCTCTCTGTCGCCAAAGATATACATTTTGTTGCATGGCCTTCTGTCGCCAAAGAATTCAAAATATAAATATCAAATTTTAGGTTTTTGTTACAGAAAATTTAATGGCATGAATGTAAAATTTATTTACAAAAATCAGGAGGATAAAGTAATTTCAACAATTTTTATAGGAAAAATATAGCTATATCATTTCAACTAATTTAAATGTTCAACGACAATTTATATGGCTTATTACATGAAATATAAGCTTTTCTTATTTATGTTCTTATCCAATAATTAAGAATAAATATGAGCAAAAAAGAAATGCTTTCACCATTTCTTATAGAAGTAATATTAATTAAATAATTTATATATAACTATCCCGGCCCGCAGCCCGACCCAACACACTTACTGGGCCCGATTGACTATACAATTTTAAATAAAAATTAGACTCAAGTTTGCCTGAACTTGACTAGTCAAAGCTCGAATAAATCAACCCGTGGCGCTAAGACCAGCTCGCCTAATCTCTAGGCCCGAAATATATTGTGAATCTTAAAATCAGCATGGGGGTATGAGATTTGATGTATTGCTAGTTTTTGCATAGTACCCAACATTTCATTTCATATTCTATTTATTTATTTTATTTATGTATTAATAAAGAATAAAAATATAGTTTTTGCATAGTACGCTAAGTTAACGAGCCGAACACGAACAACACAAACTAATATTTGTTCGTTCGTGTTCGGCTCGTTTTGACTCTAAATACTACTAATCAATTATATATATGTCTTTGATGAATAGTATTTTTAAAAAAATTAATTGACTACAAGGCTAAAAAGATTTATAATCAATTAAAAGTATTAATGAAGAAGATAGAATGCAAATTATTAATTAGATTCAAATGATGTTTTAAATCTTGTCAAATGCAATCTTGCCCCAATCTTTAACATCTTATGGTTACATGATTAAGGTTGTCAAAAAAACTCTTCGTTTGTGAAGTGTGTGAACGCCGCGTGTTCGGCTCGTTAAGCAAGCGAGCCGAACACGAACACCCTTTTGAGCTCGAAACATAAACGAGCCAAAGACGAGCTGAGCCCGGGCTCGCTTGTGTTCGGCTCTTTTACACCCCTTCATAATACATTATTTTAATATTAAAAAATTGATTGATTGAAAAGTAATAATAATAAATTAGAAGAAGAAGAAGAAGAGTTAATTTAGGCTTGCCGGTCTTTACACGGAAAGGCAAATTATTGCCCTACTTTTCTTTGGAAGATATTCATAGATGTTACTCAATTCTTATGTATTTACATATTTTAGCCCTTAAAAAAGTTTAATTCTTACATGTGTGCCACACTATTTATACTTGAAAAAAATATTTTATTTTTTAAAAATTAGAATAATCATAATTTTGGTATGATATGAAAGATTTGGGTGACATAAATATAAATAGCAAAGTATAGGTGTTTGGAATGTAAATATATAAGAGTTGGGCGTGTACGTAAATGCCAGCCACAAGGACTTCAAGTCAACCGAGTCCTACATCCGAGTCTTCCAAATGACTTGAGTTAGACTTGGGTCAACCCTTATTGCCTTCTTCTACGGTCCACCTTTGCCGTCTTCTCGCAAATCAAACCTCTACGCCCTCTTCTGTATGGAGCGACTTCATTCCATCAGCTCTGCCATCTTTCTCCTGCTACCACTTCTGGCGCTCTCTCTTTTTGGAGCTTTTCTCGGTTGTTAACTGCAAAGCTCTTGAACAATGCCTCCAGAAAGAGAGCTCGGCGCTTCTCCAGCTGAAGCGAGGCTTCATCTCAGGTGAGCTCGATACATGGGAGCCAGGGACGGACTGCTGCTTCTGGGTGGGAGTGACATGCGATGAATCGAGGCGTGTCACTGGCCTCGACCTAAGCGATCGATCCATTAACGGTACGATCGATCCTATCCTCTTCAATCTCACATCTTTAGAAACCCTCAATCTTTCCAATAACGAGTTCTACAACGGATCTATTCCGGATTCCGGGTGGGAAAGGCTTGCAAATCTTTCAAGCCTCGATATTTCATGGTCAGAACTTATTGGAAAGGTTCCCGCCGGTATCTCTCGATTGACAAAATTAACTTCCCTTGACCTCTCCTACAATGAGGATCTTTCTTTCACTGCTAACCCAACATTTCTGCAAAATATGAGCAATTTGAGGGAACTTTTTCTTGACAATGTAAATCTCTCGGCATACGGTGTTGAATGGTGTGGTGCTCTGATCAATTCCACCCCCGAACTTGAGGCGCTCAGCATGCAAGGTTGTTCCCTCTTTGGGTATTGTCCGAACAAAATCTTTCTTCTGAGAAATTTGAAATATCTTCAAATCTCATACAATCAGATACTCTCTGGTTCTCTTCCTGATTTTCCAGAGAACAGTAATTTAGAAAAATTGAATCTTTTTGCCACCAATTTCTCTGGGAATTTGCCCGATACAATCGGCAACCTCAAGTTTTTGACTTTATTGGATCTCGGAGAATGTCAATTTTCTGGTAGAATACCGCCTTCGATGGGAAATCTATCAAAACAACTAAAATGGTTGAGTCTATCCAACAACTATTTTAGCGGTCCTGTTCTATTTTTGCTTCCACTTTCAGCTGAGCCATCACATAATGGTCTGTCATCACCAGATACTCACATTTGTCTGAATGGCAAGCTTTGTCATCTTGAATATCTTGATCTCAGTCATAACAATTTCTCTGGACCAATTCCTGCTACTGTGTTTACTCTGCCAACTTTGAGATTCTTGCATCTTCAACGAAACCAATTTTCTGGGCAACTTGCAGAGTTCACATGTGCATCCTCTATGTTGACTTATGTTGATCTTAGTAACAATAAATTACAGGGACAAATTCCATTGTCATTTTTTATGATATCAGGGCTTTATCATCTTGACTTTTCTTCAAATAATTTCAGTGGAGTTGTGGGGTCGGAGTTCATAAAGGATCTCAATGATCTCACTTTTTTGTCCCTATCAAACAATAAACTAACTGAAATCCCACCATTCATAAAATATCAACATAAAAACATTTCTTTGTACCTCTCCGATAATAGACTAACTGGGGAAATCCCAACATTCATCTGCAACTGGACTGGCCTTGAGTCACTTGATTTATCGAATAACGAGTTAAATGGTTCTATTCCACCGTGTTTATTAGAAAGTAGTGGTCTCAAGATTCTCACATATTTGGACTATGCAAACAATAACCTGACTGGGGAAATTCCAATATTCATCTGCAACTTGACCAACCTGCAGACACTTGATTTATCAAATAACAAGCTTAATGGTTATATTCCACCGTGTTTATTAGAAAGAAGTAGTCTCGAGATTATCATGCATTTGGACCTCTCAAAAAATCAACTGGCTGGAGAAATCACTGTTAGAACTTAAAAAAAAATTCACATTCAATTTCGAGAGAAATAAACCATAGATTAGCGGAAGCGTACCGGAATCCATTAGATCGATTGCGCAAGATATGATCTTCCAATCTGCAGATTTTCCAAATTTTCCTTAGTTTTCTTGTTGATGGGGTGCAAGAAAGGGATGTATCTCTCTGCAAATTGGGGACCATCACCCTTTGAAGTAACTACCAGGCGGTTACAATAACTACCAGGCGGTTACAAAAAAGTTTTGCTTAATTCTAATTCTGCCCCTCATCAAATTAGAATTTGCACTTATGGTATCCACACTATAATATCATGACAAATGTGCCCAAAGTCATGAACTTAATTCTAAATTAGACCACAATAATTTTGACTTATTTAATGATGACCCAACACATTTATTAATTACATTGTAGTCCCAAAATTAATCCAACAAGTACATCACTGAATATAATATTTCGTTACTCTGTAGTGTACGGCGTTTCACTACAATGTGTGTTGTTACTCTGCAAGAAAAGTGAATCATTACTCCGTAGGGTGCTTTGTTACTCTTCACAATTCAATAATAATGACGAGCATGACGGGATCGACGATGGTCGATAGTGGCCAATGAGTGGTGCTTGATGGTGGTCAGCAGCTACACTCTTCTTCTCCATATTGAGACCATTAAGGGCCCGTTTGGGGCAACTTATAAGTGCGGCAACGTTTTGAAAACGCCGCTTACGTGTTTGTTTAGCACATTTCTACAAATTATTTAAAAACTGCGTTTAATTTTTTCTATTACACGCAAATCGCGGGGTTATACCCGCGATCCGCGTTTTCGTCCCTCGTTTTACGCCTCTACCCCTCTCTCGCGAACCTTTGCTCACCTTTGTTGAAAGCCATTCGAAGTTCGTTGGTCTCCGTCGCCGAAAGCCAGGCTCCCCCTCCTACACATCCTTCGTCGCTCTCTTCCGAACCTCCTCCTCCTTCCGCTCGGTCTTACCCGCGCCATCTTGCTCTCTAGGCTCCAGGCTTCAGCGAAGTTAACTATTTGGCTGCGACGGTTGGCTGTGTCGCCGGAACGGCGGCCGATGCTTCATTGTTTCTTCTCGTTCTTACGAAGATGAAGAGCTGCGTATCTGACTCCGAGAGATCTCCGTAATCTGGCGGTCTTGTTTCTGTGTTTCTATTTCTCTCGCGGAAAGTTCCGGCGAGGTATCGATCACTATTCCTTGCTCCGTTTCTTGAAATTTATGATTTTATATCCTTCTTTCTGTTCTTGGTTTAACGTTTTGTTCTTGCACATTGCTAGGTTTTCTGCTTAGCTTCTGATTTTTTTTTTGAAGCTGTTTTTCTGGTTTCCGAATTCATTAATGTGGATATCATCTTCGATGGGTACAGTTTATTGAAGTGTTCTTAATGCTTTGGGTGTTTATAAAATATGAAAATGTGGATTCGCTGGGTTGATTTGCCCTTGCTTCAAACTTCTTATGCGCGCTCTTATGTACCTTGATGCTGCTAGAAAAATCGCGGTGGCAGAGTAATAGATTATCATCTTAACGTTGCAC